CCTTCCCCAGCAGTCAGACACCAGCCCTGAATCTCCCCAGTGTTCTCACCCCCTTGTCTGGTCGCACTTGCAGGGGTGACAAGCCGTTGGCACACGAAGAAGCTCCCCAGGAAGACACACAAGGGCTTGCGCAAAGTTGCCTGCATCGGAGCCTGGCACCCGGCCCGCGTTGGCTACTCCATTGCTCGGGCTGGCCAGAAGGGCTACCACCACCGCACGGAGCTCAACAAGAAGGTACGGCCCAGAGGGGTTCCCTCAGAGCACCGCTGTGCCATCCTGCCATGCTGTCACCTTCCTGCTTTGCACGGCCGCCTCCGTTCCTCCCAGCTTCTCAGATCTACAGATTTGCAGTGCTGTTGTTCCCCATGTCTCTCCTGGTGTTTTTTTCCCCGCTTCAGGGACACAACCTGGTGAAAAACCCCCATCATCCCTTGTGACATCCTGCAGTGATGACAGTCACCGCCTCTGTTTCCTTTCTGCTCCTAGATTTACCGCATTGGCCGTGGGATCCACGTGGAGGATGGCAAGGTGGTGAAGAACAATGCCTCGACGAACTACGATGTCACGGAGAAGACCATTACGCCCCTGGTAAGGGCCAGGGGGGTAAGAGGGTTGTGACTGGTTGCAGGGATCCGAGACAGCAAAGTAATTTCCTGGCTGGAGACGGCTGCGTAGCAAATGATTTGAAGAAAGTTCACTGAAAGAAATGCAGTGATTCCTCTCCTTGAGTTTTGGATGTGGAAAACCATCTTGGTGAGGTGTTTTTTTGAGACCCAAACATTTAAATTCCAGCTAATAACTTGGGCAAAAACTGAGAACTTGATTTCAAAAGAGAAAGAAGTATAAATTACATTAAAGATCTGATACTTAACAGATAAATGCTTGTAACTTGGTTAAAAAAATCACTTTTGTATGTTAAAAACTGTTGACTTGGGAGTCTAGCCAGCTCTGCTTGTTGTTCACCCACATCCGTCAGGGCAGGAAGCCGGGCTAGTGGTTCCCAAGCTCTTATGGGGTGCTCCTTCGCTGTGATCACGCAGTCCGTGTGCCTGACCTGCTCTCGTGGTGCCGAGCCGGCTCCCTGAAGGGTGCAGGGTGTTGTTATCTAGAAGAACTGTCAGTCACTACCTCCTCCTTCCCTAGAAAATGGCACGTGTGGACGTGTCTACTCCCACCCAGCTCCCCTGCCTGCCAAAACTTCTCTCTTCTTCTCCTCTCAGGGTGGATTTCCTCACTATGGGGAGGTCAACAACGACTTCCTTATGCTAAAAGGCTGCGTTGTGGGCACCAAGAAGCGTGTGCTCACCCTCCGCAAGGTGAGAGTGCAGACAGTAGATCTCATTGAGCAGCTTCGTGGTGGGGAGGATGCCGCTGCCTCCAAATGCTGGGTTAGGGGACGGGTACAAGCCTTGGAGAGCTGTGATGCAGAGCCCAGAAATGGAAACCTTGCCCGTAAGCAGACTGGGAGGAAAAGGAATGCTAAGTGAAGAGCAGGTTCATTTCAGAGCTGCTCTGCGATCCAAAGCATCGCAGCTGCCTGAGCACCGGGGTGTTTCTCTGAGAAGAAACTCAGAAACTTCTCAGATTTTGTTGTTTTGGGTTGCTTTTTTTTTTTTTTGTGGAGATATTTATCTAGTGGATGCACCTAGGCTATTTCAGCCCTGCTTGCATTAGAGCAGACGTCTAAATTTTCTGGATGACTTTTCAGTAGCGATAAGCCCGATGCATTCTGACTCTTCTCTTCCAGTCCCTTCTGGTGCAAACAAGCCGCCGGTCTCAGGAAGCCATTGAACTCAAGTTCATCGATACTACGTCCAAGTTTGGTCACGGGCGCTTCCAGACAGCTCAGGAGAAGCGGGCTTTCATGGTGAGTTACGCTCTGTGCTGCCTCCAGCTCCCAGGCCACACTCACAGCTCGGGTTAAAGCAACTGCTTGACTCCAACCAGGCATCTCCTTTGCGCTATCACAGCTCAGCGAGTGACCATCTTGCCACAGGTCTAGGGAGGTTCTCCTCCGCCTTTACTCTACCTTGGTGAGACCGCAACCAGAATACTGTGTCCAGTTTGGGGCTCCCCAGTTCCAGAGAGACAGGGACTTACTGGAGAGAGTCCAAGGGAGAGCTACGAGGGGGATCAAGGGACTGAACATCTCTGCTGGGAAGAGACTGAGAGACCTGGGGCTGTTCAGCCTGGAAAGGAGACGGCTGAGAGGGGACCTTATTAATGTACAGAAATATCTGAGGGGTGGGGGTCAAGGGGAAGGGGACAATCTCTTCTCAGTGGTGCCCAGCAATAGAACAAGCAATAATGGGTTTAAGTTAGAACGTGGGAAGTTCCATATCAACATGAGGAGAAACTGCTTTACTGTGAGGGTGCCGTAGCCCTGGCACGGGCTGCCCAGAGAGGGTGTGGAGTCTCCTTCTCTGGAGACTTTTGAACCCTGTTCCTGTGTGACTGCCCTGGGGGATCCTGCTCTGGTAGGGGGTTTGGACTAGACGATCTCTGTAGGTCCCTTCCAACTCTGAACATTCTATTATTCTATGAAAATTCAGTTCAGGCAGGAGATACTTAGCTAAGGAAGAACTCGGTGGTTGTGCAAGTGATCCAAGACAACCCAACTAACAAAATACCTACCATATGGCCAGCCAGTTCCCCTTCACCACGGGCTGTTTGAAACAAGCAGCTAACTTGGCAGGCACCGCGTTGGACATATGGTCCCTTTCACGCGTAATTGTGGGCTGCTTTGATTTGTTTGGAGTGATTTATAACTTTAAAGTTCTGAAGAGGAAAAAGGTTGGGTCAAATTCAGACATGGATTTGCGATCCTTTTGTCAGGAAGCTTTCAAAAAAGCCAAGCAGTATATTTTTCTTTAATCGGGATGGGCGGGTGGATGGAGGAATTAAATAAATCCAAAACAAGCAGAGTTTCTTGAATAGTTTTGCGACCTGCACCGAGCTGGTGCAGGAGCCTGAATGTGAAATTGAGGAAGCCTTAAGTAAGCCCAGCCTTCAGCGAGCAGAAATGAGAGAAAACAACTGCCTGGATACCGCGCAGATGTAAATTGTGTCTGGCTCTGGCCTGTCAGCTACAAATCCCACGTGAAACTGGCTTAAGCCTCCTCACAAGGGGGGTTGGCTGTGCAGTGCCTTTGCAGAGCTCTTTAGAGGTTAAGCTGATTTCCTTTATCTCAGTGTTAGGAGCTCATTCCGTGGTCTGCTCATGCTGTCGCTGCAAGGCTTGAGCAGCTGTGACATGAATCTTAGTGGCACGAGGTATTTTTACCTGGTTGCAGCCATTTTCTTTGCTGTTTTCTGCCATGGGCTGAGAGTTTCCACCGTGTAGACTGTGGTCAAAGTTTACATTTGGCTGGAATTGGAGGCACGTGTGTACTTCTTGCTATTTGCTCCCGTAGGACTTATTTGGTCTGAGACAATCCTGTTTCTTAGCTGGTTGGAAACTGGCTCTGGCTCTTTTGAGCTGCCTGATGAAAATCTGTGCCTTTGGTTGTGGGAGCCTTTGCCTCCTCCACGGCTCCTACAGCAGCTCAGCAGCCGCTCGGTGTTCGTCAGCACAACTACTGCTCCCCTCCACAGCCCCTGACGGCAGGCCAGCCCACCTAGCTCACCGTCAGGCCACTTATTGCCCTTCTCTGGCTGCTTTTGTGTGTCCAGAGAAACAAACCCTTCATGCATGGGCGATAAGGTTCCACTCCCAATTCCTGTGGGCTACGGAGACGTCAAGGGTGGCCTATGAATGGTGGCACAGGGCTCCCAGCTGGGGAGCAGGGACTGGGAGCAACCTTGCCCAAGCAGAAAGGGGCCGGAGCTGCAGTTCTGCTCCCCGGAGCTCAGATGCGGCTCAGTTTGTCTGCGTCTAACACTGAGACCTCTCCTCTTTGCTGTCTTCCAGGGCCCTCAGAAGAAACACTTGGTGAAAGCGAAACCAGGAGCGCAGGAAGAGCTGTAAGAACTGAGATTTGCGAGGCTACCTAACCGAGCACCTTCAATAAAAAGGTTTCAAGCCATGCCAGCCGCCTGCCTTCCTCCCAGAGGGGTGTCTTGCCTGTATTCAGCACTGTCGGGGGGCAGCAGCATGTCCCAGAGGCTCCCCGGCAGGTGGGGATGGGACAAGTAGCGCTTGAGACTGGCCGACACGGACTAACTGGGACAGCCAAGTGTTTGCTCTGGATCCTCCCTTTCTTCTTGCTCAGTGATTTTTTTTTTCTCCCACTGCTTGCATTCACCCAAACCCCCACGAAGACTCCCCTTGCTCTCTTCCAGAGGAGAGCAGAGCAGGTATCTCCACTTCTGTCCCAGTTTCTGCTGGGAATACAGGGCCTCCCCGTTACCTGCCTCTGCCCAGTCCCACTGGCCATCTCTCCCCTCGCCACCTCTCACACCCAGGTGCTTCTTTTGCTGAGCTGAAAGTAGGACCCAAGGACCTCTCTGCACAAAGCCCCATGATCCTGGCCGGCATCCTCAGCAGATGTGGGAACTTGGGTACAATAAGCTGGCTGCTAGGTAAGACTGGCCAGAGATGGATTTATTCAGATTTTTGATTCATTTCCCACCCATGCTTGCCTTGCAGTCCAGCTGCCTGCGGGGAGGGCGCGACGCTTCTTGGAGCTGTGATGTCTTGGGTCAGCAGGGATCACAACTCCTTCCGTGCAGAACCTTAGTCTGGGTGCCCTGCACCCTCTTTAGCCGCTCCAAAGCTGCCCCCTTGACCAGGAGCGCTGGGAACCTGCTGGAGGTGCACAAAGTTCTTGGGTCTCCAGCAAACCCCTTGCCCTGGGTCTGGTTCTGCTCTGAACGTGTGCTTGCGGTATTTAAGGAGGAGGCTCATCTACGAAAGTGCTGAGGATGAGATGAACCGAGAAGCTCAGACCCCACGGGGCGTGGCCCTGGGTGCAGTTGGTGACCAGGCCCTGGTGGCCTCATGTGCCAGCGAGGTCCCTGAGCCGGGTGCCGTGTCTCTGCCCTGCCCTTGAGGCCGCAGGTCAGAGCCTCTTCTCTGCCTTGGCTGGAAGGTCCCTGGGCAGTCCCACAGTGAGCGGCTGGGGATCCAGGCCAGAGCTCATGATGGGAATGATGAGATCGTCCATGTTTGGCATGACCAAAATTTTCTGAAAAGAAGAACCCAGAATAACAAGTCAGTGGTTTTGAACGCCACTACTTGACGGGTGACACATCTGCTGTGAAGTGGCCTCGGCAGGAGCCTCACTTGGGTCAGAGACCAAGGCTGTGACCAGGAGAAGGTCCTGGACTCCCATCCACTCGTCAGCAGCTGACCGTGCCTGGCTCTAGAGGATTGCCACCTCTGGATATCTCAGGGTGGGGACAAGCAGGAGCAGTTTTTCTTTGCCCTGCTCACTTGTATGACTTCAAGGGTGGTCATGGCAGAGGGCAGGGACCAGCACTTTGAAGCCATTCAAATCTGCAGCTCTCTGGGGGGATCTGAGTACCTAAATATCTGTGGGGACATTCCTCCTCTTTGACCAGAAGTCTCAAAGGTGAGAGGCAGAAAGGTGTCCACCTCGTGAAGGGAGATTGCTGACCTCGTGAAGATTAATATCCTAAATTTGCGGACACTCCTATCCCCCCTGCTTGGGGCAGGGCTGCACTCACTGGAAGGAAACTGCAGCAGCCCTTAGAGCTGGTTATTTGGGTTGTGTTTCTCGACTGTCCAAAGCTGGACAGACCAGATCAGATGTCGGCTTCTTGCAGAGACAGTGAGGACTGATTATCCCTGATGGCAGCAGTGCACGTGCTTCAGCAAGTTTTGCTGAGCCGTTAACGGAGCAGGCACCTGAAATTCATGCTGCAGCTTCTTCTCGATCCACTCGGTGACATGGAGGAACGTCACCTCCCGCTCACCCAGCTTTGGGCGCACCTTCAGCTCCAGCTGCGGTGGGACTCGGAAGCTGTACCTGTGAGAGGAAAGGTGGAAAGAATCATGTCCTGAAGCCCCAGATCTGGCTCCTTGGCTGAGCCGCAGGGAGCAAGAGGAGCTGAAAGGAGGATGTGTGTGAGCCCCCGCAGGGGAGGAAGAAGAGCTGGTACCAGACACGGTCCGTCGGTGGTGGTGGGATGTTCACAGCCAAGGTGCCTGCCAGCTCCTGCACCTCCACTGTCAGCAGCAGCGGTGTGTTGGAGACCTCCTCGAACTTTTTTTTGATGAACTCGTTTTCAGTGGCCTTCTGGAAGTACTTGGACTTGGCGATCTTATCCACGAAGCGCAGGATCTTGCGGCTTGTGCTGTTGCCGCCGACATGGCTGAAGTGAGGCGAACCACAGCTCAAACCGCGCCCTGGCTGGGTTTCGCCATCCCCCCAGCCATCTGCTGCAGCCCCCTGCGAAGGGCTCCTCATCCTGCCATGATGTGCTGGGGTGCCTGCATGTGCCCTCCCAGGGAAACCATCCCCGGCAGCTCTGAGCCTTCCCCAGCATCTCCCCAAACAGCCCCTTACCCCTCAGTGCCAGGCGGTGGGACCCGCTCCCCCAGGGCTCCTGCGGGCTCAGCCGTGACGATGTCTTCCTCATCAGAGGAGCCGGCACTGGACGACTCTGCATCGCTGTCTGCCAGCAGAATCAGCCGTGACGTGGTCCTGCGAGCCCCAAGAAGCATCATGGGGGTTTCCCTGGGCCAGCACCCTTTCGCCTCGCTCAGGCAAGAGGAGGAGGAGGAGGAGGATGAAAACAGGCACGGCCTCCTTCCCCTTCTCTGCCTGCTTCCGCCAGGCCGCTCTCCTCTGCAGCGCTCTCCTTCCCCAGCTTGCAGAGGTTCATCTTTGTCTCAAGCGTCATCTGCAATGAGCCGCTGTAGGTGACCTCCATGTCCACCCAGAGCCCTGTTGGGGAGAAGGACGGGGTGAGCCCCTGTCAGCGCCGCAGGGGCTGAGGGCTTCTCAGGTGCCTGCCAAAACCTCCCTGCTTCAGGGACCGGGCTGGCACCTCCATAACGGCTGCTGGAGCCAGCCCTGGGGTCCCTCTCATTCTCACCTCGGTCATTGACAGTGGGGCTGGAGGCACTGAGGACTGAGGGGATGGATGTGCCCATGTCCAGCTCCGTCAGTGTCAGCTCATTCATGAAATATGGGAGCTGATGGAGAGAAACCCACACGGAGGGTAACCACAGCCCGGCACCCGCTGTGGGGCCTCAGGGATGGGATTCCCTGGGTGCTGTGTCGCTCCTGCCTCTCACCTTGATCTTGCTCAACTTCTTTTGGATCTTGTTGGACACTTGCTCGGCCCAGTATTGCTCCCGAAGGAAGTCCCAGAAGATGCGCCCCACCAGGGCGTTCATCCAGGCCATGCACGTCTCG